TTCTGCCTTTCACGCAGGAGGCCCGGGTTCGATTCCCGGCGTCGGAACTCTTTTTTTTTGTTTTAATCAATAAAATATAATGTATTATGTAGTACAAATATTTTCAAGCTAGTGATTATTATTGACAAGAAATGATAAATCAAAAATATTTTTGTTTTTCTTGAATAGTTCTTGTATTGAATGAAATAAAAAGACAAATTTAATATTTTCTTTTACTTATGTTTGTCAATTATAATCATAAGTGAAACGTATTTGTCGTAAAAATAATCTCAACAGAATGTATGAAAAATCATAAGAAATATCAGTAAATGAATCTTCATCAGATAGTATACTATAATCCATATGAGCAAGTTCATCATGTTGACAGCACAAACATAAGTCATGAGTGACAAACAATATATGAAAAACTACAGAGGACTCATCTTCATCTTATTTTACAGCTATTCAATTATCCTCAGATCTCACTTGTTTACAAACAGAAAATCCACAGCTTGAAAATGTTGTTTAAAGGGCCCCAAAAAAAATATCAATTTTGGTCAAATTTGTCGATTTTGTGATTTATAGCTTGTTAGATAGAGCTAAATGTCTACTGTCGAATGCACTATAGTTTATTGATTTTATGATGGAATTTAAGGATATTGCACAGGCCTTTCTGAACCTTCCATAGGAGAAAATAAGGTTTTTTCCTCAAAATAGAATTTTTGATTTTTATGTTTCCGTGCGTCCCAGATTTCTCTGCCATTTTAAACGATAGAAAGCTGGGCTTGATGTCAAAATGAAGGCAAAAATTAGCTCTACAACTTAACAGAGTCGAATTTTTCGATTTCCTCATTAATGTTTATAAGAAACTAATTTTTCTGAACCTACCTCCATCGGCTTTTTCACATTTCATCAGAGAAATTTTCTAAAGACACAAGCTAGGAGAGAATCGAAAAATTGGGTCCTGTTAAGTTGTAGCTCCACATATTGGCTACATTTTAAAATCAGCCCGAACTTTCTAACATTCGAAATGGCGGAGAAATTTGGGACGCACAGAAATCTAAATTTTGACCCATAAACCTTATGCTAACTCTTCGTAGATTCAATGTATCGAGCTGGGAGTTTTACTGTGAGGTGTCTAGCTTGATTCATCTTGCAAAAAAAACCTATTGATCATTGTCCCAATTGTAATTATTTATTAGATGAAGTACGTCAACTTCAATAACAACTAATTCATAAAATCTTATCACATTTGATGTTTTATTTAAAAAAAGAAACCAAAATTCAACACATACTCTGGAATGAGTCTAGTTTATGTATAAAATATATATATATAGATATAGATATATGCATATAACAACACACTGAATAGATGAAGTTTGCTTTTTTGATTAATTATCAAAATCATCAACATTAATTCGCATTGTATTTTGTGGTGATCTTCGACGTCCACTAGATCCATTGGTTCGATTTCGATCATTTTCATTTCGATTACGTTCACGATTTAAACGTTTTTGTTTTTTTTCATAATCAATCTCTTGTCTTTTATGATAATCATATGGTGTATCAAAATCTTCTTCTGTTAAATTTTCACCTTCAAGAACACCAATTACAATTAAATCAGTTAATTTATATGGTTCAAGTCTAAGATTTGATTTCGATGTTTTTGTTGATGATGTATTTGATGTTTTATTTTTTTTATTTTGTGATTGATTTGTATTTGATGATAATGATGGATTAATAATTATCCATTGTGCACGATCAGGAAAATAACGTGCTAATGTTATTTTTAATGCTTGTTTAGAAACATTTTTATAATGTAGAGTATTTGTCATAAATGATGATAAACGTGTTAATACATGTTGTTCAAGATATTCATATTTAGCAATAATATTTTCTTTTAATGGCCAATGAACTTCAAATTGATATTGAAAATAATTTCCATCATCATCTTTAGAATAGACTATATTAAGAAGTAAATCTTTTTTTCCTAATGATTCAGGATTATGTAATGATTCAAATGCAAATAAATCAAGATCTTGAACTTTTGCTTGTCTAAAGATAGAAAAAAAAAGAAAAGAAAGAACAATATTGTTTTATTTTAATAAAAAAATTTTACTTGAGAGTAATAAGAGTTGGTTCATGAATAATAGAGAGTGATTCATCATCTTCAATACGATAAAGACGAATAAAATCTAATGGTTTAACATCACGTGCATAACCAGAAGGAACTTTAAAATCAATATGTTTGGCAATACGTTCACGAAGAACATTGAATGGTGATATGGTTGGTAATTCGAATAGTTCTTTTAATTCGGCCATCTTATATTTGGGTTCAGTATGAACTAAGAAAAGACGAAGAATAAATGTATAATCTTAATCTCAAAACTTTTAGAACAGTACTATTCTTAGTAATGAATAGCCTAAGAATGAATTTTCAGATATGTCGTAATAAAAATTGATCATTATCATGGATTCTTCAAGCATCTAATGGCTTCACAATTTATATATCTAATGAAATTCTTTTCTTTTCTTATATAAAATTTTAAGGAGATCGCTCCCTCCCTCTTCCTTTTCGAGATTTCTTCAGAATGACTCGAAGAAAAATGATGAAACTTTCAAAACAGGTAGATTTCGATAAATAGAGCAAAAGTTTTCATAGAATTAGATTCTTCCTTCAGGAAATATAGGAAACGCAAAGGCCAAAAATCGCCTGCAGTTTACCTTCCCACAAAACTTTCATTTTTTGAGCTGCAACTTTTTTTATGGCAATTACGATTAGATCGGAGCGCGTGTTTTTTTTTCAATGATACGAATTTTTTAAAGGCTGTCGAATTTCATGCGAACAACATTTCGAAGAAAGCAAAAAAAAATGAGTACCCAAATTTATCTAAAATATTCATAAAAGAATTTAAGCTTTACCAAGCATACCGTGTGAGAGAAAAAGGAGACAATCAAAAAACAAATTTTCCTGTATATATCAGGACTTTTTTCTCCGAATTAAAATGATTGAAAACTGGCAGTGTTCAGTAGTGTGATGGGAATTCATGACTTATACTTTAAGCATCTTTGAAAAACTATTTTCGTGCCCGAAAAAAAAGCGACATCTGCTCAATGAGAACATTTTTTTTCTCCATGAAAATGAGAAATTCAAATTAAGATTTATTATCTAAACATTATTTCTTATTTGATATCAAATTATAAAATAAAAATTCATTCATACTAGCTTCATTTGGTGTATAAATTCTCTCGGTAATTCTTGAAATTTTCAATCGAACATGATTTTTCCTTGCAACACTTCCTCGTTTCATTGTTAATTGAGCTCCATTAGTAAGTTCATTAGCATGAAGTGTTCCATCAAAATCATTTAAAGGTGATTCATCATCAGTTAATGATGGTTTAACTTCACATAAATGATATTCATTATCATTTTCTAAATAATAATAAAAACAAAACAAAAAAAGAAAATAGATTAAATTTTCAAACGGAAAAACAAAATATAAAATTCTTTATTTACCATCCATATTTAATTCTTGTTTAATAAGTAACCATAGATCAGATAATATTATATTTTCATCAACAACAATTTCTAATGAACATGGTTCACGATCAGATAGAATATAAAGAAGAATATCATTCTTTTTTAATGATTGACCAAATTTTAAACATAAATTTGTATTATTTTGTTTAAATTCAATTGAATCAACTGTTTGATGATCATAAACTACGAAAGAAAAAAAGAACATTCTTTTGTTTTTTTTTTTAGTTTATTTATATAAAATTTCACTTACGAGGAATATGTCCAACATCCGGATCATCAATATGTAAACGACACATACATGTATCTATAGATAAACCAAATGCTTGAATAGCCATGAGTTTAACGAGTTCGATTAGCTAACAAAAAAAAAAAAAAGTCTTTATATTTGAAATTTTTAGGTGTTGGTTTTTATTTTTGTAAACATACTGTTGTATTTAAACAACTATAAGTCATTGGTTTTGTATTATTTATATCAATACTATTTTTAACTGTTAATGATAATTGATTTTTACCAAAATTAATACTGTTCGATGAAACATCTTTCCAATTAGGTACACTAGAAAATAAAATAAAAAACAAAACAAAATTTTATTTTTAAAAAATTTAATATAGGAAAAAAGAAAAAGATATTTATTATTTTTTTACAGAGAATTTCTATCATCAATTCCTAATGTATCTCCATCTTGTAAACGTAATTGTGCTAATGTTTGTTTTTCTTCATCACTTTTATATTCTCGACGTGATTTACGATTATTTTTTTCTTCTAAATTTAATTTACCCATACGCATTTGTCGTAATTTTTGAGCATCATCATGTCCATAATAATCATGATAGAGAATTTCTTTTAATTCTAATAATGTTGTATTTTTTGATACATGTTTTATAGGTTGTAAATGTGATGCATGAATATGTATATCAGGAAAACCATAAACAATATTAAGCATTATTGGTTCAAATTCTTCACCTTGTAAAACTGTATCTGGTAATGATGATGAATTTGTATAAATAATTAGATTACGATAATTTGATAGATCACTTTTATCTAATATTTTATCATTATTTGATTTAATTAATTCATTTATTACATGTAATTGTCCCGAACGAAGTTTTTTAGCAATATAAAAATGATTTCCTACACCATATATATTCTAAATATAAAGATATTACTTAAATTTTTATCGAATACTTTTTTTTTTCAAGTTTATATAATATAAAAAAAATCGAATTAATGCAAGTATAGTACATGTGTTGATCTATAACATAATCCTACAGGATCAGATTTTTTGTGGATAATGATGTTTGACATAGTCAACTTTCTACAAAATTTTATTACACATTTTCTATGCTAAATGAACTATCTATTTTATTTGAATTTCGATAAGTACTATTAATAAAGTAATTAAAGTCAATTATGATTGGGAAAAGAAACTTATTTCTGTAAACTTTTAAGAATGTCAATATAAAAAAAAAAAAACTATTTTAAATATTTTCCTACCTCAAGTCTCGAAATAAATTCATTAATTTTCGTTCGTTTATCAAATATAACTTCTCCATATTGATCTGGAAATAATACTTGATCATTATTATTGAAATTTAATCGACAACCATCTATAACTTGAAACCATTCACTTGGATAGATTGTAACTAATAATTGATTTTGATATTTTTCATAAGCATCACTGAAATATTAAAATTCATTCAACAACAAAAAAAAAATCCTATAAATAATCTACCGTTTTTCATCTAGAATTCTATTTTTTTCTAAAATTTCATCAAGTAACCATTGTGGTATTGAATGAAGAGTATCTAAAAAACAATTCAAAAAAAATTTTGATTTTTTTTTATGAAATCGAAATAAAATATTTTATTAAATACTATCTGAACAATCCATTTTTGGTCTATGTCGATCTTTTTGTCTATAAAATAACATATAAGCACAATCATTTTGTCCATAATGTTTTTTTATTTGTTCTCGTGTAACACACATTACAATTGAATCATCAAAACAAAACCAATGTTCATCATTATGATAATTATTATTTAATGAATAATCAATTTGTGATGATTCATAATCCATTTGATCAATATCATAATCATCTATATCCATTGAACAATTTCGTTCAATTAATCGTACACGTTTATCATCAACTTCAAATATTTCAGGATAACTTCGAAGAAACTATTTTTGTTTATTTTTTTTTTGAAAAAACAAAAATCAATTAAAAATTTTCAAAGAAAATAATAATAGATATACTTTAGTAAATGAACCATGAACACCACGTGTACGATTCCATGACATTGTTGTATTTTCACGATAAGTCTACAAATCAAGTATATTTATTTTTATTTTTATTTTTGATTTAATAAAATTTGTTTTACATACTTGAAGAAGATAATCAATAGTAACCCAATCATCACATGATAATAATAATGTTTTAATTAAATCAAGTTTTTTCATTTTTTCTTCTTGTGCATCAGCTGATTCATTTGAAGTTCGATTATTATTAGGTGAAGTATTGGATGTTTTACTATTTTGAGTATTTGTTGATTTTTGTTTATTTGTTGATTTTGTCTAATTGAAATAGAACAATTGAAAAACAAAAAGATAATTTCTTTAAAAGAATGTCTTCAATATTGATGTTAAAGATTATATTTAGTTTAATTAAAATTTCAAATATGGCTTTGGATAATAATTCATTTCAATCAAAATTATTCAGATCATTAATTATCGATGAGGTTTTTGGGTTTGGTTTTAGAAAAATAATCTAGAGATATGTTCTTAAACTCTTATGGTTCTATTTATTGATCTTGGTCACTGAATTGACCATTTGTAGAACGATGGCAGAAAATAAAGGAAGCATGGAATTTGAAAACAATTAAAAAAAATACATTTCTTGTAACGAACTTCGTGAGTTATCAACTGGTAACAAGGATGTTTTTTTTCGTCGCTCCACCTTTCAAATATCAGGCCTACAAAGTTGATAATTTTGAAAACAACGAAAAAATTCGAATTTTTTGAGATAAAAATAGTTCTCTACTTAAATTCAATAGAGATCTTTTGGAATTTCTATGTGATATGAATCGATGAAGAAGCCCACTAGTGAGTTAGATATATTTCAAGAAGATAAAGATTCCAGCTATTGTAAAAAAAGGGAGATTACCGGCTATATTCATCACTTATTTAATAAAGGAACTATCATCTTACTGAAGGTGATGATGGTGGTGGACATATCCATGTACCAATCTGATCGATATCTTTGATATAACCATAATAATGTCCTGAATAACATGTGCCTTTATGAATAACAACGGCAAATAAATCATAATTTGTTTCCGTGACTGAATCCTTCAATGAATATAAATGAGTTCCTATTGAATGGCATAGAAAATTTTCTTACTTCACAAAATTCTTTTAAATCAATTTCAAATGGAAATTCATAACGTGTAGTTTTTTTCTGTCGACTACCAGTTTTAATATCATAAACAAAACGTTGTAATGGTAAAGTTAATATTGGTGGTAATTTCGTTATTTTTGCCCACTAAAACAAAAGACAAAAAGAACTAACAAATTATTAGTTTTTTTTTCTTTTATTTAACCTTTTCAGCATCACATAAATTATTTGCACATGATGAACATCGATATTGATTATCACCAATTAACTGTTCACGAATTGTAAACATATTTGCTAAAGAAGTTTGTAAATTAGGACTATCTTGTACAACTAATGGTAAGTCATGATAATCTTCCTAAAAGAAAATCTACAGTACTAGACAAAAATTTCCACCATACTAGATCTCAACTACTACAGATATTGGATGAGGAAAAATTTCTGTGCATATAATCCACTAAGAATGTAGATTAGCATCATGAGCTTGTTCCGATTGCTAACATACAACGAGCATTATGGTGAATGATAAATGGATAGTACTTATTTTTCCTTTGAATTTTATATTTCTGAAAAAGAAAGGACTTTATGGATTAGCTGATTTCTCATTTTGTGAAAAGCTCCCTGATACACTTTGTAGAGTATAACTTAATAATGTTTCAATAAATCGAGCTGAAAGCTTTGCATGTAGCTGAATAGCATTTAAGCAATCAGGACACACTCGTGGCTCTGATTTCCATCTTCGATGGATTATATGCACTGAAATTTTCAGACCTCCAGTACCTGTGATAGCTGAGATCTGATATGATGAAGATAAAGACAAAACGATATTTACTGATCGTTTAAATATTTTTTGACATCTTTTACATTGTGTATAATTGATTGTAGATCCTTCATAACATAAACGTATTAAATTTGATTGTTTTGTACCTTGTAAAGATTTTTGAATAGCATCAAATAATAAACGATTTAGTTCATGAACATCTTGATGATCAATAGCCTATGTAAAAAGACGTATGACTTCTTTAATATGAATATAAATATAAAAACAAACCTCATTTGATTGCCAACCAAAACTATCTGTTAATCGAATTGATGAACATGCTTGTTGATTAAGTAAAAGCATTTCAGCAAAAAGGCGTTGTAATTCAACAATTATTTTACGAACCTATTATTATTATTATTATTATTTTTTTTTTGTATAAAATAAATAGATTAAGTTACTTTTAAACTACTTCCACTAGATGATATTGAATTTTGATCATTGTAATTTGCTGGAAGATTAAGATCTTTAGGAGTTAGACGGAAAAGAGGTTCTAAGAAGGCAAAAAAAAAATTTTTTTTTTATTTCTAAAGTTGTGCATTGGAAAATAAAATATTTATTTAGTTATTTATTCTACAAATTTCAACGTTGTATCGATGGATACTTCCACGGGTAGTCAACCGTAGAAAACACAAGGTACTCAGAAGATTGTTTTGTCATTGTATTGATCATGTTGGTAAAAGAAAAATATTGATATTTACTAAATAAATCATGATGCTAGGGTCAAAATAACGTTAACTATTGCTCAGTAAAAGTCAGGAATAGCCGAAGTTTTTGAATACTTTTGGTTCTAACACTATGATTTACTGAGAGAATTTGAATATTTGTTTTTACCAAAATGATTAGCGCAACAACAAAACAATCTTCTAAGAATCTTGTGGTTTTTGCGGTTGACTATCCATCAAAAAATACGATTCGTAAGCATTTTATTGTTGGTAATTAGTAATATATATGTAATCTTATTTATTTCGATAATCAGAATGAAATTTGAAGGATTCTGTTTTTAAACCACTGTTAAATAATATTAAGCAACATTTTGTTTGTTTTTGTACGCCATCAAATACATACCACGAAATTCAGGTGTGAAAAGCAATGTTTGAATAAGTACATTTAGGTAACTATTAAAATAAAATTTATATGTTGTCTTATGTCAAAGGAAGAAAAAAAAAAGAATAAGTCTTACCAAGTAGCTCCTTGATTTTGTAATCCACATAAATTCGTTTCATTTCTTGGGAATGGTGGTTTTTCAGTAGATTTTATAGTTGTTATTTGATGGGACGCTATACATATAAAATATTCTGAATAAGAATATTTTCTTTCGAATATTTTACTTACATTCTCCTCCTCCACCATCTTCTACAAAGAGATCTCCTAACATATTATGAAAAATCTGAAAATCAAGCAAACCAGATCCGTTATTTTACTTCAATTCAAAAGAAAGAAAGAAAGAAGAAAAAAGGAAAAGATCACAAAAGTCACTGTTATCACAAATTAATGAATGAGAGTAATTATTTTGGGAAGAAAAAAAAACATCGTCCTCAATGATCAGCAGCATTTTTATTTTTTTCTAAATATTCTTTATATTTTTCCTCATTCATTAATATATTTTCCATATTATTTTTATTTTTTTCTTCAATTATTGCTTGTACAATCCAACCATCCTTATATGGACTTTTATTAATTAAATCAGCTTGAGTTTTTAAGTTCTCATTGACCTTTGATATTTTACCATCAAGAGGCATAAAACAATCAGCAACAGCTTTAACAGATTCTAATGTTGCAAATGTTTCATCACGATTTAATTTTGTACCAACAGATGGTAATTCACAATAAACAACATCACCAAGAGCATTTTGTGCAAAATCACTTATACCAATTCGAACTTCATTTTTATTATCAATCATTTGTACCCATTCATGTTTTTTTGTATAATAACGTTGTTGGAATACACGTGATGTTATATGAAATTGACGAATGGAATGAAATTTAATGGCATGACGAAATAAAAGTAAAGATGATGCCGACATGGAAAAGTTTCTTTTGTTTTCGTTTTTATTTTTTTTTTGTTAGTGTGAAAAAAATACGTAAGAACCAAGCTGAGGATGCGAGTAGTAAACAGGTAAAGGAAAATTTCAGATTCGTTAGAACTATGACCAATGATGGATTCCGATAAATTAGAAGGAGAAAGATGTCTCGATATGTATGGATACAGTCATACGGCTTATTTGAGTCGACTTATAAAATATGAAATGTAGTATAGAAATACCACGGATGTTGGTCAAAACTTTTATTTAATGATGCCGATAATTACTATAGTCCGATGAATTAAAAGTCCAAGTTGAGGAGTATGTTCACATCAAGTTTTATTTTAATACTATGAGAAGAAATCATAATGTGCTATTATATAGGAGCATACAACATGAATTGGAGTATCTAATAACATGCACCAATTCAATATAGAATAAACTCATTTGAAGAACTAAGCAGAAAAAAAGGAAGGTAGCACATGCACCGTCAGCGTGAAATTCATGCTACATAAAACAGATAATACAATATACATAAATGTAATTGATGAAAGCTGATTGTGTATCAATAGAGTAAAGTAGATCTTGTTGTGTAACGATCCACACTCATCTTCCATTTTCTCTTGTTCTTCATATTTATCCTCTATTTCACCTATAAAAACATTCAGTTCATTCACCTGATCATCCTTAATATCAGGATTATCTGTTACTACAGTAGAAGATTTGACTATTAATTCATCTATTGTACCATCGAACGGAATGTCTTCTTTAATATATCTGTTAATAACACCATGTACATGTTCAATAATCTTCAAAGTGAAGTCTGGTATAGCATCAATATGTTTATTATCATCATCATAAAAACCCTGTATTATATGGTATCTTTATTTTGATTGTCATAATTCAAGAAAGAAAGCATAATATACAAATTTATCCCAAAATATGTTACTATATAGTCTTGTGTATACGTACCACATTTGAAATAAGTTAAACAAGGTTTAGTGTACAAATGAAAATCAAACTTGTAATAACATATGAAAAATTGATATACATGAAATTATTTAGGGAATGTGTACAAATAGAACAAGATAAAAATCTAAGATATACATTATAGATAGAGGACTAGTAGAGAATGATAATGATAGATATATGATCAATCCATATCAGTCTATTAGTACATGAAAAGCAGCCAAAGACATTATAATGAAATGAAAATAAATATTACAAAAAAAAATCAAAATTTTACTCGGACTTTTAATTCATCAGACTATAGTCGCATATTCTTATCAATGGGAATTGTACAGTATCATCTTAATTTTGCTTTGATCAATTCTTTATTGTAATAATATTAGACAGTAGAATTACATAATAAGAATTTCTTGTGAAGAAGAAGACGAATCCGATATTAACATATACGAAATAAAAGATTTCTTTGTTTAAAGTATAAACTATTACACTCTATTCTGTAAATGCTTACTATTTGTTAATAGATGTATCATATTGCTATAATAATTTTCAAACTAAGTTGTAGACATGTACTCGTAATCTTGTTTTTTATCAAATGCATTAATAAAACATAAACCTAAGCTTTGATAAGCTTTCTGTAGTATCATGATATACACTCGAAAAGTTGTTTTTTACCGGTAACTGACAAAGAAAAGCTTTTATGATTATCATCGAATAAAATTTTACGATATCGCTAGAGTGATCTTTTGTAATATTAGTCAAGAAAAAGAGTCGAGGTAAAGAAACTAGATCGAGAGGAAGCAATGAACGTTTTTTTTTATTGTCATTTTGTTAAGAATAGATGATTGAAGACGAAGGAATAAATCGAAAGAATATTATATTTTTGAAGAAATTAATCAATATTTAACATAAAAAAAAAGAACGAATGAAATAATTTGATGCATATAAGATGTAATAATATATCTTCAAAACAAATATTTGCCAATCGATATGACAATTTATTTATAACCAATTAAAACCACAATGAATGAATACTGATATCATCTGATTCATGTCATTAGACCCACTAAAAGAGCAAAAATAGAAATTAAATCATTTGATTAATATAGTACAAAATACGATCTATGCAAGTGAACAGTCGGATTATCAATGTGTGCATTGCACTTGATACAAAGCTCTTGCGTGCAGCTTACATGATGCATTATTATTTTGTTCTCATTATGGATGATTTGAATAACTTCTTCAGTCATAGAAAGAATTCATATAAGTATATTTATCACGTCAGAATATTTTTCTTCATTTCATAGAACAGACTTGTGTAAAGGTATCTGGATTCTGAGCATCTGGATTATACAGTAGATATCAAGATGACATGAGCTTATTTATTAGAAAGGTAAAGAACAAATAATTGGAAAAGGAGAGAACATCAAAAAAAAGAATGACGTATTATATATTGTCAAACAAATGTATTATTGAATTCTTTTATTTTCGAAAAATCAAAACTCTATATTGGGAATCATTTTCTGATAAAAGAACAAGAAACCTCATCGATTAATCATACATTTCTTGCAATAGAAATTCTTCACTAAATTTAATCTGAGACACCACTTTATTTACATAATTAATCAATGCATTGTTGATAATTCAATAATTTCTAACAATTGAATTAAAGTTTCAATGAACAGCATTTTTTTTTATTTATGAATTTAATAAAAAAAAAGAAAAGAAAATCATTTTTGTATTTTCAAAAATAAAAAAAATCAATTTATATCACAGGAAGAAAATCTCGTATAAAATTAAATTCAAAACAAAATTTAGAAAAATAAATAGTCTTATTATTAAAATTCTCGATTATGCAGAACGTTTTGGTGTTGGCATATTAAAAACCGGTACATTTAATTCAGTCCAAAATTGTGAATCAACAGTTTGTGGTGTAAATATAATATGTTGAGATGATGAATAATATAATGTATTTTGATAAAGAATTTCAAGTGAAGAATTTCGTTTTTCATTATCCTAAAAATATTTTACTTAAAAAAAAACAAAGCCTAAAAGAAGTTTTCTAATTTTACCATATAAATATCAATTTCATCAAGTAATCGAAATGGTTGATATATTGATTGCCAAAGTGCAAGTAAAAAACAAAATGTTGATATTGATCGTTCACCACCAGATAATGATGCTGGATCTCTTTGTTCTTTTTTTATCTATTAGACAAAAAAAAATTTCACATAATTTTTTTTTCTGCTTATTTAATTTAAGGATATTCTTCCTTCTTTCATGACCCAAAGTTTTTGTAGCCATTATATAGTCTGAGTACATTTTGGGATCGAAACTTTGTTTTTAAAGGTTAAAAAATTCGAGAAAAAATCAAATTTACATAAAACTGTATCAAATTTTTGAACAAAATAATTGAAGTTTTTCCTTAGACCCTGTCATCGATTGAACTGAAATTTTCTGTGTGACAACTAGAACCAAATCAGGATGTATATCTATTCATTTTTTCTTAAAATAATGTTCTGATGATTTTTGGCGGCTCTGTTAAAATTTGTCCTAGACAAAAAAACCATGTTTTTTTTTTTACAAAGCTTCTAATATTTTGGTTATCCTAAACGAATGAAAAATGAATTATGGTCGTTCGTGGGAGGAAAACTTTAGGTCATTTTTAATCCTTATGTCCCCTATATCTCATAGAAGGAGGTATCAGAGAATTCTGAGTCTATAACATAGGAAACGGGAGAAGAAGCGTCTTTCAACGTACAATTAATTCAAGTTGCTCTTTTTTATGATCTATTTGAATATCACTTTCATCAAACTGATATTTTTTCATTAAATTTTGAAATTTAACACGAAGATAATATTGATGTTGTTCAGCGATTGTAAGAAAACCTTCTTGACGTTTGTTTACAAATTGTTTAAGATACTTTGAAAGACAAAAAGAAAACAAAGAAAAATATTTTTTTATTGAATGAAAATTTATTTTACTTCAATTTGTTGATAACATCGTTCATATGTTTGTTTATATTTTTTTGTTGCATCTCGTTTTGTTCGATATTTATTAATCACTTCTCGACGTTTTTCATTACTAAAAGAAAAATTAAATAAAAAAAAAAAAAAATGAAAATTCAAAAAACTAATTTAACGAACGTGTCTTCATTTGCTTTAAGATAATTATTAATAGCATCAAGTTCTTGTTGAATTTCACGAACAGATCGAGTAGTAGTATTTTTTGATTTCTTAAAATAATGAAACGATTTTATTTTTATTTTTTGTAGATAAATAAATAAGATAAAGATTTACTTTTGATTGTTTTTTAGTTAATTGATTGAATTTTTTCTTATATTTAGAAATATTTTTATTTATTTGAATAGATTTTTGTTTTAATTTTTTAATTTGTTGTTGAATATCATAATGATTAGATTGTTCATTATTAATTTTTTCTATTAGAAGATCATATTGATGAGTTTTGAAATCAATTTTTTTTATTATATTTTCATAATTTTCTGTTATATTAGCGAGTTGTCGAAGATTTTCATCTTTTTTTTCTTTTGTTTCATCATATTTTTGAATTGTATCAGTATAAATAGATAGATAATTTTTAGCTTTTTCTTGTAAATCAACAAGAGAACAATCAAGAACAATTGGCATTGTAGAATTTAAACGATCAAGTTCCTTAAAAAAACAAAAACAGGATTGAATATAAAAGATTTTTTCATTTGAAAAAAAAAAAAAGAAATCTAATATCTATTTTTAATAACTACGAAATGGTTTCTATTAATACATATATAATCAGATATAAAATATATTTCTCTTCAGGAAAAAAAAATATCTATAAGCTAAGATCTCCCTTCATCTATTATGGATACGGATATTTTCATTATAAAATTTTCGAGAACTTAACTGTCATTTTATTTCAAACTCTAAGATTTAAACTGTACACTTTCTGATTCAATATTGTCGTATATCTTCAGACAGTTGACGATATCGGATAATCGTATTTCCTACATCTTTGGTTTCTTATAAATCTAATACGATTT